GTTGGCCAGCTAACCAAGTTAAAAAAGTTGTTTTTCAAATGTGCTGAATGAGCTATGCAGTATTAGCATTGGAGAGAGACTGCGGAGGGAAAAAGAGAAGGGGACAGGCTGGAATGCTAACAGGTTCAAACATATTTTTTAGATGACGCCAGGTCCGTGCAGCTTGGTGAGATTTACCTGAGACTACCGAGGGCATTGGCCTGATCCGCTTCTCAACCTTTCTTCTTATCATCAAGGCAGGAGAGGTACCACTGTCGTGATGAACAAAAACGGGAATAATTTTTGTAAATGCAAGGTCCTAGCAGTCAGTAGAGAGGTAAGAGACTGCCGCTGTGAATTTGCTGACAAATCACATGGAAATAATAATCTACTGCCTTCGTCAGGATAACTGGCTTGGCAGGTAAGAAAAAAATCAGTGGAGAAATCCAGACTTTGAATGCACTTGGGCAATGGCCTATCTGACGTTATTTTAAGCAAGCTACAAAAACGAGTCTGGATAAAATTACTGTACGGTAGTTTCACAACTGGCTGAAGTCAAAACTGAGCAGTAGATAACAAAAAGTGGGAAGGCTGATCCAATAAGGTCTGCAGGAATTCATGTAGTACTGTTTGGTACTTTTTTAGTAAGTAATTTGAATGCAGGAGTAGGTGCTTTTTTCTTCTTAAACATGTGAAAATGCACCCTGGGAGAGCTGTCGGCGCTTCTGATAGGCTGAAATTCAATGTAGTCTTCATTAGCTGGAAAAATGATCTCAAATCAGTCAGGTAGAATTCGTCATGGATTAGTTAAAGGTCAAAATAAAAGGCGAAAATACTCATGGTAAACAACAAACAGCCTAGACTGTGGCTTTGCAGAAAAAAAGAATTAAATGCCCCACACGCCTGGTGATTTTGGAGAACCAGAAGCAGAGTATGAGTCAACAGCATGATGTGGTGATGAAGGAAACGAGTGACGTTCGAGGGTGACTTAAAAGAGTGTTGTACATAAGACACAAGAGGCAATTATTTTATTCTTAACACTAGTGAATCCTCGGGGTATTGTCTTCACTTTGTGGCTTTGTCTTTTAAGGAGGACATAAACAGGAGAATTTGGAGGAAAATAACATAAATAAGGGACTTGTGAATCATATTAGGTTTGTTTCAGCTGTCAGAGAAACCTTGACAAGTCCTTAACTATGAATAAGGCTCATCTAAGAGCACGGCAAACGCTGCCACTGACAGCGGAAAAGAAAATGACTTTGTTTTTCAGGGAGGGCTGTTCTGGAAAAAATAATGCCAAGTCATTAAACATTAAAACAGCCTGTCAAGCTATCGAAACTCTGTCACTGGAATTTATTAAAAGTAAGTTGAAAATATTTGTCAAGGGTGGCCAAGGTATGCGTGATCCTACCCGAGATGAGGGAGCCACAACGAATGCCCCTGGATGCTCTATACAGCCCCTTTCTGCATGCTGGGGGGTGGTTTTGGCTGCACCGCTGTTTATTACTCAACGCAGTTCAGTCTCATTTACGCAGCACAGTTTCAGCTTTACTCACCTTTATAATAACCCTTTATCAGCAGCGGTAATTATGAGTAAACGTGAATTATTGTAAGGAAGTTTTGTAAAACTTTGACACAGGAGGTCACTGTTTTTGGAGGAATGTCGCCTTCGAAGAAAAGTCACCTTAAGCCTAACTTCTTCAGAGGAAACTTGTTGAGATTGAGACGCTACAGCTACGCGTCAGTCAGACTGGGAATCCACTGTGGCAACCAGACGCATGGACGCAGGTGTACCTCCCGCTGTGTCGGGTACCCGTGAGGTGACAGATGACAGCATCTCACAGGGCTCCCGTCTGCAGGTACAGAGCTGTCGCTCTTTCCTCCTCCGGTTTGTCAGTCGTTTTCATACACGTGAGCTCTCATCAACAGATTGAGGGTATTGCTACGCGTGCACGGCCAACTGTAAACATGGCACATCGTTGGTGCTCGCTCCAACAGAAACAGAGCTCTCGTGTTGCAGAAAAATGTAGGTTTGGCCTAATTTGTATGTCAACACAACAAAAAATATTCAGCTGGTGAAAGGGGTGTAATGAAAATCTTGTGAATAAAGCCAGAGCTCAATGAGAAGGAGATGGTGTGAAAGCAGTATTCCTTCATTGTTCTGCCTTAAAACATACTGGGCAGGAGTAACAATGTTTTAGAAGACTTTTGCCACAAGCAGGAGTGGGTTTTATACACCTACACCCCATCGCAGCGTGAAACTACAGCCCCCTCCTCGCTCTGTAGAGCTCACTAGTTAACTAATGCAAGAATTACACCAGCCCACCTGAAATGAAATGGTCGCATCCGTGCTTTTCTAGTGGATTTAAACAACAGCAACGACCGAAAAAAAAGAGTAATTTCTTGGGCTGACCAATTTTATTTCTGAACGACGTACCACAAAATCCACAAAGTACGACCAAAACGCCTGTAAGGCTTCGTAAGGATAACAAGTCAGTCGGGCTCTGAATAGGAACAACGTTCGGGCAGTTTGCACAGGAACACCCGTCCTGCTCATTTTGCCATCTTCCGTGAGCGTGTTTGACAGGAAAACACACCAAAACAGTTAAAAA